GAGATAAATTGAGTAAGTGGATTCCAGTTGAATCCACTTATTGATAAAGCCTCAAGTTTATCCTTTTTTGTAGCTGAGTAATACTCCATTGTGTAAAACATACCACATCCTTTTATCCATTCCTCAGTCGATGGCCATTGGGTTGTTTCCAAGATTTAATTATAACAAAGTGCCCTGCTATACACACGGGTGTACATCTATTGCTGTGGTACAATGCTTTCAGCTCATTGGGAAAAATACCAAGGAGGGGAATAGCTGTCTTCACAGAATTTTCTTTTTTTTATTTTTAAAGAGTACAAATTAGAATTAAAACAAAAAATTACAAGTGATACAGATTTTTACTTAACAAAGTAATATGAATTTCACAGCATTTGTTATAATACAGTGTTGTCTTCCAACCAGTTATTCATATTACTAGATATATGCATGTAAAATTGGAAGAAGAAAACAAAAGAAAAAATGTGTAACAAATTAAGAAGACAAAAAGCTGAAACAATTGAAAAAAGCAGGCAAAAGAAATTAAAGCATTAATTTCTTTCCATGAAATGGAAAAGCGTAATTCTTTCCATAAACCAGCAAAAATGCACAGTACAGTTGTGGAAAGCACCCTGCATGCATACATAGATAAAGCTCTTTCCCCCGCTCCCTCTCCTGTCCTCCTCCTCAGCTCAGTAACTCTTTCCTTTTGAATAAGCTCATTCCCTTTCCCAGTGTCTACTGCACCCTTCAGATTCCATTTTTCTCTTTCAGGTTCTCACACTAAGGAGACAATATGATGTTTGCACATGCAAGTCTAATTTATTTCACTTAAGAGTACGTTCTCTAGTTGTATCATTTACTGACAAAATTCTCAAATTTATCGTGCTTTATGGCTAATACTTCATTGTGTAAAAATAGCACATCATCTTTATCCATTCTTCAGTTAATGGGCGTCTATAACAGGATTTAGCTATAACAAGTTGTGCTGCTGTAAACATGGGTACACATGTAATTGCTGTGGTATGAGATTTTCAGTTCTTCTGGAAAAATACACAGGAAGGAAATAGTTGGCTTGAAAGGGCTCTCCAATCCTAGTGTCTAGATTTTTGCGTGTGTGAGTATGCAGAGTCTCACTGTGTGGCTCAGACTCATAGTGATCCTCCTGTTTTCAGCCTCCCTGGTGCACAGGCCTGTGTCTCCCTGCCCAGCCTCCATTGCCAGCTCAGCATGCTCGGCACAGGGCTGGCGTGGCGTGTGGTGCAGGGATCAAACCCTGGCACCTGTGCTTATCTAAGCAAGTGCTTAGTCCACTGAGAGAGCTCACCAGCCTTGCCATCCCAGCTTTTGAAGGACTCTCCACACTGATTTCCATAGCAGTTGTACCAGTCTGCACTCCCACCAACAGCGCAGAAGGGTTCCTTTTTCTCCACAGCCCCTCCAGCATTTGTTATTGGCTGACTTCTTGATGTTGACCATTCTTTCTGGGGTGAGATGAAATCTGTTTTGTTTTAATTTGCATTTCTCGAATGACCAATAATGTTGAACATTTTTTCATATATTTACTTGCCCTTTGTATTTCTTCCTCTGACAAGTGTATATTCATCTCAGATGACCCTTTTTTGATTGGGTCTTTGAATTTGGGGGCTGATTTTTTAATTCTTTGTGTGTTCAGGATAGGCCTTTGAGGGAGAGTCAGGTATAATTTTTTCCCAGTTTGTTGGTTTTCCTTTTACTCTGTTGGAGGTTTGCTTTGAAGTACAGAAACTTCTCAAAAAGATGAGCTCTCAGTTGTTGATTCTTTGAAGTATTTCCTGAACAGTTTGGTTTTTGCTCATGAACTCTCTACCAATCCCTTGTCTTTACGATTTTTACCTATATTTTCCGCCAGAACATTTAGTGTTTCTGTTTCAATATTTATATCTTTGATCCATTTTGACTGTAGCTTTGTGCATGGCAAAGGCATTGGTCTAGTTTTAGCCTTCGACATCATCCATAGAATTTTAACATTGAAATGTTACCTATAAATACAGTGCTTTAAAAACTTCTACTATGTCATGCTGATTTAAGAACATTTCATTGCATTCGTATTACAGCCATTGATTTCTAATAGTACTGAAATTGCTAATCCCCAAAATACACACTGTACCCATTTCCTGCTATCAAGCATTACTTCATGAATTGGTTCTTTTCCTTTTCTTGGTACTGGAAATTGAATGCGGGCAGGCACCGTGTCGTTAAGATCCCTGGCCCGTACGTCTGTTCTTCTTAGCACCTGAAATCTGGAAGGGGCCAACCCCACTATATCGGCTCCTAATCCTCCAAACAAGGAATGAGGCCCTTCTTTTTCCAAGATCACTTTTAGACAATGGAGGGGTCCAGGAGACACTACTCGGTTAACACTGGCTCCATCCACAGTGTTCAGCTGAACTTCAGAGATACAAAATGTCACAGAAGGCAGCTGCAGCTGTGTTCTCACAACTTCCATGTCTGAATAGCTCCCACTGCGCCGCCACATCCCCCAGCAAACAGATGCACCAGCGTGTCCCTCTGGCTCCTTTTTTCTCCAGTATGTCCTCTGTGTGCTGAGGCAGGATGTGCACTGGGCTGCCCACTACAGTGGGCAGCTTTGGTCCCAGAAGGAGAAGAACAGTGCCCCGGCAGTGGAAGGGAAAGGCTGAGATGCGGCTGCAGACTGCACGCCACAGCCCTCCCGTGCACTAGTGCCTCCCGCTCACCCCTGCATTCTTCTGCAGTGCACGGCCAGGAATAGCTGTTTTAATGAGACTTCTAATCCTAGTTTTTTTGAGAAATCTCCACACTGATTTCCATAGTGGTTATACCAGTCTACACTCCCAAAAACAACGGAGAAGGATTTCCCTTTTCCCTACAGCCTCTCCAAAATTTGTTATTGGTTGACTTCTTGATATAAACATTCTTTCTGGGCTGAGATTGAATCTCAGTGTTGTTTTAATTTGTATTTATTGAATGACCAATAATATTGAATGTTTTTTCGTATATTTATTTGCCTTTTGCATTTCTTCATCTGAGAAGTATGTATTCTTCTCAGATACCAGTTTGGATAGGACCTTTGAATTTGGGGGGGGCCTGACTTTTTAAAAGAATCTTTACATGTTCTAGCTGGAAGTTCTTTGTCTGATGCATAGTTGCCTTTAACTTTCCCCCAATTTGTGGGGTTTTTTTTTACTCTGTTGGTGATTTCTTTTGATGCTGAGAAACTACTGAAAATATGAGATCCTAGTTGTTGATTCTTTGAAGTATTTCCCACGCAGTTTGGCTTTTATTCATGAACTCCCTACCTACTCTTATGTCTTCAACATTTCTACTTAACTGCTCCTCCAGAAGATTTAGTGTTTCTGTTTCAATATTTAATTCTTTGATCTATTTTGACTTTAGTTTAGTGTGTGGAGATAAAGCTGAATCTAATTTTAGCCTTCAGCATATGGAAAACCAGTTTTTCCAGCAGCATTTATTAGAGGCTAGCATTCTTCTAGTGAAAATGTTTAGTCTCTTTCTCAAAGATAAGGTGGCTAAATGTGTTTGTAGTTGTGTCTGCATCTTCTAATATATTCCATTGATCCTCATAGATTTGTAGCATAATTTGAAGTCAGAGACAGTTATGCCTCCTTCTATTCCTGTGTTGCCCAGAATTTCTTTTGCTATTTTTAAACTGTTTTTTAAAAGAGAATACAAGTTAGAATTAAAACAAAAAATTACAAGTGATACAGAATTTCACTTAACAAATTAATATGAATTTCACAGTTGACCCTCCCCTAAAAAATAATAGTAATAATAATAATAATAATGATAATAATAATAATTTCTGTTGCTTTTTTTGAAAGAATCCTGTAGAGACATAAGCTTTTATGCAAGAAAGGGAAAAGAGATTTGGGAAAGGATTTTTTTTAAAAAAAATTTGTTTGGTACACGCTGTCACTATGCAGTCCTGACTCATAGCGATCCTCCTGTTTTCAGCCTCCCCAGCACTGGGATTACAGGTGTGCGCCACCACACCTGGTCTTGGTGGCTGGCTCTGCACACACCGAGGTGGAGCTGGGAAAGGATTTTGATAAATACTGCAGCTTCAAAATGAGTGGGTGACCATCCAGTAGAAAAGTATGAAGACGAAATATAGGAAGGAAAGCCATGGTGTTGTGTTGAGCTGTGGGGGACTCAGGTCAATAATTTCTGACATTGCCAGTGAAGCAGAAGACCCAATACTATTAGGGGCTACTGGACTCCTTTAGAATATTTTGCTGAGTTTACACACCTATAATATTCAAATAACAGGACTTAACCAAAAAAAAGAATACAGATGAATGTCCATTTTGTATCTGTGTATTCAAAGTGGTTAGGATAGATATATAGTTACATTCTCTTAATGCATAGAGGGATTTGTTCTGATGGTGTTTGTAAATAGGATATCATGTCTGCATCTTGTACAACAAATAACCACTAAAAAGAAAGTATGCAATGTGTTAATTATTGAAACTGTCCTACCAATTTGATTTGAAACTGTCTCATTGCGATTTATTTCTCAATAAAATTATGGAAAAAAAGAAATGGCAAGGTACAGAGAAATCATGTGCACAGGGGTGACAGCAGTACTCTAAGGACAATCTGACCTCAAATCCTCAGTTTGAGAACCTCAGAAAGGCTCATGAGAAGATAGCAGAAAAAGCCTTTGTCAAGAGTGAGGACCCATGCTGGACATGGACAGAAGCAGTAAATGTGCTTTTGTCAATCCTCAACTTCACACCCAGAAAGTCCTTCCCTTACTACATTTACAGAACCCTTTCAAATACTCCAGTGTTGCTGCAGAACAAACAGGAGCTTTCATGTTTGCAGAGAGTTTATTGAAATAAAAATATGTATCAGGTTTCAACAATTGTCTTGCAGTTTATAGATCTATGTAGAATGAAAGAAGGAAAGTTAGGTTTGTAGTATTGCTATTCCACTTCTCAGCATGTTCGTAGCCCTGAGAGACAAAGGTCTTGTGGAAGTTAGTAAGCTTCACAGAGTTTGCTGTTATATATTGCCTCCTGGAAAACAAAACCAAAACAGGAACATCATGTAAATATTGAACTCTGTCCTGCAAAGTCAAATATTGACAATCAAATACTCTTCTTCCTATGTTTTTCCTGTTTCTGAGGACAATGCAACATCCATGAATGCTCTGGAAACAGATCACCTTATCTCCCCATGTGTCCTGCCAGCCAGGTGATAAGTACTGACGCAAAATTACTCCTTCAGACTCATTTCTCCAAAAGGTACCTTTTCCATATTTTTTCAAAGCCTCATGGTCTTCAACATAATTTACATGAAGCATGCCCCTACTGTGCTTGTGAAAGTGCTGCTGCAGTATCAGCCTTTCAGTTCGGCTCTGTGAAACTATCTCCTTAAAAGAGGGGCATGACCAGATGACCCCATGGCCTGAGACGCTAGAATGCTTGGAAGGGAATGGAGGACCTCCACTGTCGCTCGTGGATCGGAGAAACCTGGATGCTTCACACTCCGGATGAGAAATCAAAGCGAGGTGTGGAACAAGGACAATCGCATTGTTGTGCATGGGGTGTACAGACAGTTGTCATGCTTTTTGTGTTTTTCCAAGATTTGTACAACAAAATGCTTTAAAAAATGTTACAAGATTAAACAAATGCTAAGTATAAGTATACTTAGATAGAAACACTTGTTGATTTCCTGCTTTTCTTCTGAATGATCCAACAACCATCCTGTGTTAACTACCATAATAAGCGCTTGCGTTTTCCGCATGGTGAATGAAAGGAGACCTAGCCCTCAAACACAGAACCTAATAAACCTTGTGCATTCAAAGGACAATCAGAAATTACTTAGTCTACAGGATTTTACTTCAATGAGTATTATCTGGATTTGCCAAAATGTATCGATGAACTAGTTTTTACTGTGTGTTTTGTTTCAATTTTTTTTTTAATCCATTGGTCCCAATGGTAAGGATATGTTTTCCTTTTCAGTTTTTTAGACCAGGTGTCTATGCAGTTCTGGCTGGCCTTCAAGACACTGGAGAGTACAGACTGACCTCAAACTAACAATTCTTCTACTTTCATTTCCCAAGTTCAGGGACCTACAGGCATGCACCACCATTCACAGCTTAGGGCATTTTACCCTTCGTAGGAAATGTGTGTGTGTGCAAGTGAAGGAGTGGTCTCTCTGTGTGTGAGTGGGGTGTGCAGGACTATTGAGTCGTTTGTGTGTGCCTGTGTGTGTAAATATCTTGAAGATCTTAGAGTACCTATATCAACTCTGGATAAGTCTTTTAACTGATTTTTCTGCCTATATTTTAATAAAGATTCTCAAAGGTAGGTACAAATCAGCTTTGGAAATGAAGCTTTGCTGAAGGAAAAGTCATCACATGCCATGCAAATCAAGATATACAAATGGACATGCCTCACATGCTTTGTCATCATTAACAAGAGAATCACAGACTGCTTATTCCAGTTCTAGAATTTAAGAAGTATGAGAAAGAAAATTAAAATTACCATCATCACTTTAACATTGGCTAATGTTTCCTTTGACTGGTCGAGAAAGCATTGTTTGAATTTCTCCACAGCCTTCTTTGTCATCTCGTCCCCTATGAAATTTTGAAGAGTCTCCATGTATTGTGGCACAGTCAAATCAAAATCAATGGTGTTATCAATTACATCATCAAGAAGCTTGCAGCCAGAACCTGGGAAGAAATACAAGACATGGGCTCCATGCAATCACTGAAACCATCACATATGAAGTCGAAGGCCACTGAAACTATTGCGTGTGGAATGCTGCCCACTCACCTTGTGAGCTCTAAGCAATCAGCTCTCAAAGCAGTAAGAAACATCACTGTCTAGATGAGACAATGTGTGCCCCGCCTCTGCAGAGAGTGGGCTGGTTTCTTCACAGTACCTGGTGACCCTGGGCTTTGCCATCTGCTCTCAGGCTGTGTGGCACATGTCCTTTTTACCCATCTGAGAGAACCTGGCTAAGAGTGGCTGTGGCAATGCGAACAAGACTTTGAAATGTGAAGAATTCTTCACAAGATCTGTGCCAACCGTGCTCTGTCTTCCAGAGCTTTTTTGTTCTGAATAACTGCAACGCCCGAGGATACTGTGTCCACCTCACAGTAAGCACTGACCTCAAAGGCACTGGGGGAAGAAGGGCCACTAGGAATATCAGATCAGCCCATCTTTCTATTGTGTGATGTCCAACCTGTTTCCTGCCAGATCATTTAGCGGGCCTGAGCCTTCTGTCTGGAAGGCTTTCTATTTCAGTCCACATTATGAAGATTCTTGAGCACTTTGAAGGAAACACTTTGTGTCCCATGCAGAGGTGACCAGTTATTTCTTCCTCTGTCCCATTGAAATATCTGGTTGCAGTATCAAGTCCCAACACCTATGCTTGTTTCATGGTAGTTGTGTCCATGCTGGGGCCCCCTGAGTGCCAGTGACACACTGTGTGCCCCTCCAACACAACACAAAGATGCACTGCAGCTCATTCTAGATTGGCTGGAAACAATGCTGCCCTGTGCTGAAGCTTGGGAACCAGAACTTGCCCCCAAGGTCACACGCAATACCTCTGGTCAATGGCTGCATTCCCTGCATGAAACTTACCTGCATAGCAGCAAAATGGGATGGAAGCCAGCACAAGGAACAACACCAGCTTCATGTCAGGGCTGTTGTGGCTGTTCTGTGGTGTGTGACACAGATGAGGGAATTCACTTGCAGGTGCTCACTTGCACTCTGGTATTTATAATCCATGTAGCTGTCGTGGTCCCTCCCAGAAATGAGTGGCAGACTTGTGTGATCCACCTGGCAGTGACTCAAGAAACATTGCAGGTGCCAAAAGGAAACAGCAGCCTCTTGTCTGTTTGCACAAAGAGCTATCTAGAATGCTGGACCCAAGATAATGTGGAGATTACAGTGATGGCACTCCTGTAGTGAAGATGGATGAGGAAAGGCTTTCTAAATGACAAACAATTCAATTTATGTGACAATAGTGCAATGGAACAGAAAATTACTGATGAAAGAAATCACAAAATCTCCATAAGCACATGGGTTTAAAATAACACTTTCCTAACAATCATTGGGTTGCAGATGAAACTAAAGAAATATTGAATAATATTTCCAATCAAACAAAAAATCAGATTCAATTTAGCAGAACCTGTGGGACACAAAGAAAGCAAGTCTTAAGAGAAAAATATACGGTGGTGAACTCTCACATGATGAAGACTGAAGGAGCCAAAATAAACAACATTAAGTGAACCTCAAGCTTCCAGAAGAAGAAGAGCAAGTCAAGCCCAAAGAAGGCAGGTCATTATAAACATTAGACCAGAAATTATTGCAACGGAAACAATACAAAGAATGAATGGATGGAAGCGTGGGCTCATTGAAATAATAAAGAAATTTTATAAACCCCAAGCTAACAGTACCAAAACAGAAACAAAATTTTCAATTTCATGCAATAAGGAATGAACAGGGTAAAATTATTAGAGATCAAATAGATATTCAGAAAATCATCAATTTGCACTTTGAATATCATTTCTCCCATGCGATGGAAAAACCAGAAGTAGACAGATTCCTAGATACATATGATTTGCCAAAGCTGAATGAAGAAGATATATAAATTCTGAATATAACAATATCAGTTAGTGAAAAGGAAAATGAAAATAAAAGCTTACCAAGGGAAAGCCCCCATCCTGATTGATTCACAACAGAGTTCTGTAAGAAATTTAAAGAATATTGAATACAACTCTTCCCAAGCTCTTCAATGAAATTGAAAGGGAAGCAATTCTCCACAACTCACTCTTTTTTTTTTTTTTTTTTTTTTGTATTTTTTTTTTTTTTTTGTGGAGCTGGGTATCAAACTCAGGCCCTTGCACTTGCCAGGCAAGCGCTTATTCTACTGAGCTATCTCCATGGCCCCTACAACTCACTCTTTAAGAGAGCTATTACCCTGATACCAAAACCACAGAAAGGGGGCATGGCGCTAGCTCAGGCCTTTAAGTGGCTGCTTCCACAAAGCTCTCAGCCTCAGGTTGCTGGAGTTCGAACCTCACAACTCTCCCGCTGGCCAAAAGTGCCCTGAAGCCATTGGAGGAACAAAAAAAAAAAAAAAAAACACAGAAAGACCCAATTTAAAAAAAGAAGAAGAGGGCTGGTGAGATGGCTCAGTGGTCTAAAGCACCTACTTAGAACAAGCTAAGCTAAACAAAGCACAGGGAATGCGGTTCATATCCCCCAGCACCACATGCCAGCCAGCCCCGCCCCCGGGTGGGCTGAGCTGGCCACACACACACAAAAATATAAATAAATAAATAAATAAATATTAAAAAAAATCAGTCTCCCATAACTGGAATCTGCCTAAGGTCACAGAGCTAATGATTGAATATTAAATTTGGTACATTAGATTTAAAAAAAAAGAAGAAGAAGAAAAACTGCAAGCCAGTCTCCCTAATAAAGATAGATCCAAAAACCTCAATAAAATACTTCTATACAGAAACTGCCGCAAATCATCAAAAAGGTTATACATAATGACCATGTGAGAATCATCCCAGGAATGCAAGGATGGTTTGACATATACAAATCAATGAATGCAATGCACCACATCAACACACCCAAAGACAAAAATCACATGATCATCTCAATAGATTCAGAAAAAGCTTTTGACAAAGTTCAAAACTCACTCATGATAATAAAAAAAAAAAAAAAATCAGAGTAGATGTTCTGTAAGTCAACCTGATAAAAGTCTTGTACAACAAACCAACAGCCAACATCATATTAAAGGGACAAAAATTGAAAGCCTTTACATTAAAAAATCAGGAACAAGACAAGGATGGCCACTGTCACCACTCTTATTCAATGTAGTTCCAGAAATATTAGCCAGAGCAATTAAAAAAACTGAAACAAATAAATTGAATAATGATTGCAAAGAAAGAATCAAAATTATCATTCTTTGTAGATGACATGATACACTACATAAAAGACCCTAAATCTCCACCAAGATACTTGTAGATTTGATAAGCAAACTCAGTAGTGTAGCAGAATACAAGTTAACATTCAAAATTCAATAGCAGGGCCAAGAATATAGCTCAGCAGCCCAAGCTCCCACTTTTCCAGTCCTCAGTTCGATTCCTGGTTAAAAAAAAGAAGAAAAAAAAAAACATGAAAAATAGTCAATAGTATTTCTGTACCCAAACAACAAAGGTACCAAGTCAGAAATTAGGGAAAATATGCCTTTCACAATAACATCCAAAAAATGAAACACTATGAATCAGTATAACAAAGGAAGTCAGAGTTCTGTACAGTATAATTTATTGTACTCTAAAAAAAAAAAACAGATAGAAGAGGATTTTAGAAAATTGAAAAACATTCCATATTCATGGATACGAACAACAAACATTAAGAACATGGCCATAATCCGAAAAGTGCTGTGTAGATTCAATTCAATCCCAAATAAAATGCCATTGGTGCACCCCACAGATTTAGTGAAAACATTCTTTAAATTCATTTGGAGCCAGAATACACTTAGAATTGCAAAAGTGATTCCAGGCAACAAAGAAATGGCAGAGGCATTACAATCTCTGACTTCAAAGTATACTACAAAGCTACATGATAAAATTATCAAGGTATGAGAATAAAACAGATCTGAGGATGAATGGATTAGACGAAGCAAACACATCTACAAACACACTCAAACACCTTATCTTTGACAAAGGGATCAAACATGTTCACTGCTAGAAAGAGAGTCTCTCCAATAAATGGTACTGGAGGGGTTGGGGAGATGGCTCAGTAGGATAAGCGCTTGACTGGCAAACGCAAGGAT